AAGGAAAGGTTAGAGGAAATGGATAATGGAAACATTGAAAACGGGAAAACCATGCCGTCCAACCGTCACCTTTGTATCGATTGTGACGAAACGGAATTTTCAGGACGCAAGATCAAAATGGCGTCTCAGCGCTCAGCCATTGAAAGGTTGTCAGTATTTTCCGCAACTCGGGTCAGCTACGGGCTCCGTCCGATTTCAAGGTTATGAAGTCGGGAGTTTTCAACTGAAAAGGAAAAGTTCTGAACGGGTTTTTTTTCTCGGAGTCTTCGTGGTTAAAGTTGGAAGTTTTGAGTGCCATCCTCGAGTATCCACGCAAATTCCGTGCACTGTAAAAGTGGGTTTGGCTGGCCAAACTTCGGGCTCGCTGCCATAAAAGGACGAGCCTCGCATTTTTCGTTTCGTCGGATTTGATGACTTTTTTCCGGTGCAATGGCGCGAAAAATTGGTGATCATTCGGAACAGCCATCGTTTTTCTGCGGAAAACTAACACTGAGATAACATGAACATTTGTGTCCAAATTGTACGTACATTCACCTACTTTTGCTACAAACCCCCCGTAGCCCTAAGCTGAGCCCGCTTTGTTATTATGCAAGAGGAAGAGCGGAAGTTGCGGCCGTTTTCCTCCCTTCTTTATCCACTACTTTATTTCCGCATAGCGACCTTAGCGGGAAAGTTGGATAATTCCCAATGTGGATTCCCAAAATCCCATCCTTGAAAATCCCCTTTGCGCACAACGTTACTGATGTTGTCCATCTCTGATGTGCATCCGACCTATCTTATTAATTTCCCTGTTATGTCCTGGGCATTTTGGACCGAAATACCGTTGGACAATCAGTAAACCTCGAAGCTGAGTATCTGAGAAAAGCACTGGAGTTGCTATCGAATCTTCAGCTTGCAAAGCTCAATTTTTTGCAGGTTTAGCTGACTTCGGAACTCTTAAAATTCTGCAAGTGTTACTGCAAAAAATACACACATTTTACAACTTCTTTAGTTTATAGCGGTTTTTGGGGACGAATTTGAAGCCCTTCGTTCCCAGCCCCAACAGGCCCCCAGAATTCTAAAAAATTCATAATTTCAGTTGCCGGAAATAGCGTTAGGCAAAGGAACGTTTCCATTGAGGGTGCAGCGAGCACCTGCTATAAATAATTCTAGGGCTTCGCCCCTTAAGTGGCCCTTAAAATTTTCCCAGTTTCGATCAAAACCTTTCCTTTCTTTGAAGAATTGAACGCTTTATACAGCTCGGAAAGTTTAACTGGAATCAATTCGAAGGCGGTAGGTGAATCACTTTTTTAAATGCTAGTTCGTTGGTTTCTGAAGATTATTTTGAGTTCGAAACGCGCTAATGTTTTAGGGTTAAAACCCCATAAACCCGATTTCCTTTGGTACTTTCCAACTTTATCCCAGAGGCTCTACATTGGGGTTTCTGGCTGCTCCATGAATCTTGGATTGAGCTTCAACGTTTTGTGGATCTGAAAAAAATCGCATCTTTGGCACCAATGGAAAGAGCGACGCGATATTCGCACTATCGTTAGAAAAGAGTTGGCGCTAAAGATGCAGAAGGTTTCGTAAAAATCTCTCCAAAATCAGGTTTTTGCAAGCTTGGTAAATGTGGGCCTCAAGATTAGTAAATTTCGCTCATACTGAATATTTTCACCCAACAACTGCTCTATTTTCTAAGCATTCCCAAACAACTCGAAGCAAAAGTTTGGAAGTCCCACCATATTTAACAGACATTTCGCTCTAAAGATTTTGCATGTTTGCTAAACTTGGCTCGAAATGCATTTTTCCTAGCTTATAAAATACCGGGCCTAAAATGGATGATTTTTCTCAACTGCGCTGTCTACTGTAAAAATTAATATTTTCCAAACTAGAGCAAACTTCAACTGTAAATTTTCACCAATTTTAGCAGAGATCTAGAGATCTTGAGTGTGAAGATCGTGAGAGTTTGATCTGTATTTCGGATTTTTGAGCCCTAAAGTGAATAACCATCACTCTTTTGCGTTTTTTCCCTTAAAAAAATTCACAACTTCCAAAGTAATTCAAATTGCGTAAATTTGAAAAGATTGCCACGTTTGGAACACACTCGACTCGACATGCTGCAAGTTTGATGAAAATCACCGAAAATTCCGATTTTTGTCAGCTTGCTAAATACCCGTATCAAAATGGATGTTTTTCTCAACTGCTAACTCCCATAAAAAAGAACATTTTTCAAAATAACTACAAGTAGGACCTTGACAATTTTAGAATCTTTTGAACATTCTTGACTCTAAAGATATCCGAAGTTTCATAAAAATCGCTCTTAATTCTGATTTTTGCAATTTAATAACTCTGGGCTCAACATCAATGGCGGTCTCAAAATGGATTTTTTCCGTAACTTTGCTTTCTCCTTTAAAAATTCGCATGTATTTGCAATTTTTATCGTGTTTAGGCGACATTCTCCAAAGATACTTTGGAGCAAAATCTCTTCGAAATTTGTTACAATGAATGCGTTTAAAAATGTTCCGGAACTCCAATTTTTGCCAGCTCGGTAAATCATGAAAAACTACGGAAGCATGAATTTCCACTAAAGCAAGTAGGATTTTTTCTTTATTTCTAGAAGACGATACCAAAGGTTCCAAAAGTTGCATGCACTGCACAAAATCTTGAATTTTCCTAGCTTTTTGAAATCTAAACTCTTTAAAATATCGCATCTTTGAAACTAAACCCGGCAGCGATTTGCAATTTACGCAATCGTTAGAAGACATATGAGTCTAAAAATACGCAAAGTTTAATAAAAATCGCCTTGAATGCTGATTTATTCCAGTCGATTTTATAATAAATCTGTTTACTCAAAGCCGCTCTCTCATTAAAAAAATCGCAAACCTCAAACTAACATCAATAACAATTTGAAATCTTCACCATGTAATATTTACAAGTTACTTGACGTCAAGAATTGAGAAAGATTCATAGAAATCGTCCTGCATCCTGATTTTTTCCGGATTGCAAAATTTTTCAAATGTCTATAGGCATCTGCGCTGGCTCCGTAAAAAATTCGCATCTTTGACACAAAAGCAGCTAGAAATTTTAAATTTTCATCATCTTTACAAAACACTTGACTAGAAAGGTTCCGAAAATTTCATAAAAATCGCCTAAGATTCTGATTTTTACCAGCTTCGTAAATMTGGACTCAAAACTAATAAWTATCATGCTTATAACGAATGTTTCTAWTCAACTGCGCTCCYCAYTAAAAAATTGATTATTTCCAAACTAAGACAAGCATCAATCTGAAAATTTTACGATCTTTAGAAGACACTTGATTAAAATCATTGCGAAAGTTTGCTAAAAATTTGCCAGAATTCTAATTTTTGCCAAGGCTTAAAAATAATAAATCGATCGGTCTCATAATGGAAGTTTTTCCTCAAATTTGCTCTCTGCGTAAAAATACGCATCGTTGAAACAATAGCAGGTATAAATTTTAAATTTTTGTCATCTTTACAAAACACTTGACTAGAAAGGCTCAGAAAGTTTCATAAAAATTGCTTAAAATTCTGATTTTTACCAGCTTCGTAAGTCTGGACTCAAAACTAATAAATATCATGCTCATAACGAATGTTTCTAATCAACTGCGCTCTTCCATTAAAAAAATGGTATGTTCCMAACTAAAACAAGTAGCAATATGAAATTTTTACCWTCTTTAGAAAACACTTAATGAAAATTATTGCSAATGTTCMYTAACRAATTATCCGGAATTCTGATTTTTGCCAGTTTGTTAAATCTGGGATTAAAACTAATAAATCGATCGGTCTCATAGCGGATGYTTCTGGTTAATTGCGCTCTCCCATTAAAAAAATACATTTTCCAAAGTTATGCAAGTAGCAATTTGAAATTTTTYGCAGTTTTAGAAGACACTCAGTCAGAACGATGTCGAAAGTTTCATAAAAACTRTCCAAAATTCTGATTTTTGCCAGGGCTTAAAASTAATAAATCAATCAGTCTCAWAACGGATGTTTTTACTTAACTTCGCACTCTCCTTAAAAAATTCGCAATTTTGAAACCAAAGCRGGTARAAWYTTTACATTTTCATCATCTTTACGAAACACTTGACTRGAAAGGCTSAGAAAGTTTCATAAAAATTGCCTAAAGTTCTGATTTTTACCAGCTTCGTAAATMTGGACTCAAAACTAATAAACTAATAAMATGCTCATAACGAATGTTTCTAATCAACTGCGCTCTCCCATTAAAAAATTGATTATTTCCAAACTAAGAGCAGCASCAATCTGAAAATTTTACCRTSTTTAGAAGACGCTTTACTAAAATGATTGCRAAAGTTTCATAAAAATTGTTGAGAATTCTGATTTTTACCAGCATGGTAAATCTGGGCATAGAGCTAATAAATCGCCGGGACTCATATCGGAAGTTTTTCCACAATTGCGCTCTCTCCTTAAAAAAAATCGCATATTTAAAACCAAAGCAAGTAGAAATTTAAAATTTTCACAATCTAGACGACACTTGATTAGAAAGGTCCTGAAAGTTTCTTAAAAATTGCCTAAAATTCTGATTTATGCCACCTAGCTAAATCTGACCTCACGACATATCGGTCACATAACAGCCGTTATACTCAACTGCAATCTCGTCTTTAAAAAATCATATCTTTGACACCAAACCAGATAGCGATTTGAAATTTTCACTAGCTCTAGAAGATACTGTACCCTATAGATTCCGAAACTTTCATAAAAATCGCCTCAAAAGTTGTGGAGAAAAGGCAATTTGACCACATTTTATTGACGTAGGCTCATTTTCCTTCCAACCGAATACATAACTGAATCGATAATAGAAACATTTATGAGGTCATAGGCAGTAGTAATGGTGGCTTTCATTACGACCAATCGGAACTAAATTGGCGTTTCCTGAACGACAATATTCGTGGCCTTTCGACTGGTAAAACCGACAAATTCAATTATCGAATTGACACGACGAATAATTCTTAACAGACCTTGAATTTATGTAGAAAAATAGCCAAGTAAATTTAAACCTATCTTGATACAATGGAGTTTTACTCAAAAAACCCGCAATGAAATTTCAATGATGATAATGCAAGATTTTTACTAAAAAGCTATAAAAACAATTTTATTTTCGCTCATTTTCCATAGTGCTTCATTAAAAAAAAGTTTTCTTCTGTGCTGCAACTTTCACAGCGCACTTTTCTCCTTACGCTATTGCACATGCAGAGAAAACCTGTAAATCATAAAATAAAAATTGTTTATCTATTTATCAATTTTAACGAAGACTCGAAATAAACGTCGCTTAAATGAAGACAGTTTTTTGTAGCTGAAAATTTCGTTTTAATCTCTCTATTTGATGTTCTTCGAATTTTCACGTCCACTTGTTGAAACATAAAAATTTCTACTGCAACTAATTCGCTTAATTAGTCATTTTCCATATTTTCCTTTTAGCCTGCATTTTCAGAGCAAAAAATTATGAATTAAATATCGGTTTTACTCCACATTTCCTTATGTGAATGCCGTTTAATTGGACAGTTCA